GTTGCTCCGCAAACATGACATGGCATCAACTTTTTGGGATTTTTGTTCTGCTGCTGTCTGCTCTTATTATGATAATCCTGTGATCTCCCCTGATTTTGATACTGCTGTGTGTGGTTTTGTCCCTGAATTTGATAAGCCTGGGTGTTTTGAGGAAATTGTTGAAGCAGTTGTGAAATTCTGGGAGTAAGAAATATTTGGCTCCTATACAACGCACACATTGTGGCGATAGTCATTTTCCAAGATTTAATTTGCCAATCCGGAGTTGACATCATGTAGGCTTGAGCTGTCTCTGGGATTAAATTATGTAACAAGGTCTGTATGGCAAACAAATCATTACCCTCTCTTTTAATTCCCGCATTATTGTCCCATACTGTCATGAAACGCTGGATAAATTCTGGGACATTTTCTGCTGGGTCTTGTACACAAGCCGTCACTTGGGAGAAATCTGTGTGAGTTTTAGCGCATGCTCTGATAGCCAATGCAGCGACGCTTTGTATCCACATGTCTCGCGTCTGTGTCGTGGGCCAGTCCCCTGCGGCCGTACACTCAGGAAATTTAAACTCGTCTCTGCACGTGGGCCAATCTGCTTTGTATGTTAAGATTATCAGCTGTTTAACATCATGAACCAAACAGTTATAAACTGAACAAATATTAGTCAACCATGACAGATACTCATCTGGACTTTTAGTGGGACTGGGAGCGTGGTTAGTGACATCAATGACCTCAGCGGGTGTCCAGGGTTTGCAAACTGGAACATCTCCTATCAGAATTTTCGGGGCGGTCACACTTTCTTCAGAATTATTATCCTGAGATGTTTGCATTGTCGTGTACATTCTACGCTGGACATGTTTTGGAAAACTGGTGCCGTACGGCGAACCTGTGTAATCTTGTAAGCGGAGTGGCGGAGTGCGAGGAGTGGGGGTCAATAGCGGACTGCCATGTGAAACATTCCCCTCCCCCGCTGCTGCCCTCTGCTCGGCGTGTGCCGAATCTAATTCGCCATATTGTTCTGTGTGATATCTCAGACCATTTTTATTCATGATAGCTGCAGCTGTCATTAACAGATCATCATCGGAGTTTCTCGCAACGGGATTTGAGAGTTCTGTCGCGGGAATTATTTTCGTACAGAGAGATACAGCCTGCTTTCCGTCCAACAGCCCTGCGTCTGTCAAAATACAAATGAGCTGAGATGGGGTTGGAGTTTTACCACATCTTTTAATCCAATCAAAAAATATTGATTTTGCAATGTCTGGAACATTCTCACCGTGTCTTTGCCTGAATTAAATTAAAACATGTTTTCTGATCTTACATCAAAAGCAGCCTCTAGGCTAAGCAAATGACAACTTTTTGCACATTGAGAAACTTTATCAATCAGCGCCTTGAGCTCAATGGAGCCTCGCTCGCTGCCAACAGATTTTGCATTCTTCCGCTCCTCATAACCCCTTTTTTCTGCCATTGTCATCCAGGCTTTCACACATTCTGTCATGTATTTCTGATCCCATGAACAATTTGAATTATCTTCCACCAGTTTAAATGCCTGCCACAACACGGCCATATCAAAACTACCTGTCAGAGGCCAATCAAATTGAATCAATCCTTTCTGATTAATCTGTTGTGAGTGTTCGCAAAGTAACGATGTAAACGGCATAACTTTAGACCAATCCAAAGTTCTTCCGACAATTCCAGACGGCATGTTTGGAGAAAACAAATGCGTGTAGTGGTTTTCTGCAATCGGGTTTTTTGTAAGTGTCTTTGTGCGTGAAATGGTTTTCCTCTTACCAACTGAATCGTTTGTGGAGGCAGTATTACCCATGTTTAACGGTTAGTACAATAAAACAAACACTGCAATTAGACAAACAAACATGTACTCGCAACAAAATCAGCGCCCTGGCCAAAAATCATCCAGTTTAATTTAGTCCGAAATTACGGAAACGTCAACGGGAGCACTGAAATATCTGTTTAATATGGGCTCTTCTCAGCCATATTTACTAGTAATCTGTTGATGAGCAATAAACTACCTTATTCTCAATCAAAACCACTATGCAAATGTAGTGGTAAAACTGCTCAACCGACCGAGAGCAGAGATTTTTTAATGAATTCAGTACTTTTTTTTTTTAATTAATTTTTTTTTTTTAAACAACATCCAATTCAATAATCCGTTAGTTTATTAAACACAGTGTGAATGTAATATTCTGCCACCACCCTTCCCATTTAATAGCTAAATTTAGTTCTTGAGCTTATGGTGTGATTAACAGAAAATACAAGTCTGTGTTCTTAAACATTCCTCGTGTGCAGTTCACCACAGGGGGGAGGGGAATTCGCCCTCCCTCGTGCAGGCCTGAGCAGACACCCGAAAACGGATTGGTCTGATTTAAAACCCGTTGAAATCTCCAGAATTCGGCAATTTGTTTCAATTACAAATCCTCACATTGCTTTTTGAAACAGAGGTTCCACCTTGCTGATGCTTTCCTTAAGGTCTCTCCGAATATTTGCAGTGTGTGATTGTCCAGTAATTTAATTCTAGAAACCACACACAGCGGAAATCGTTAAAAGTCGATATTCCGAGGTTATTTATTAGCCCCAAATATTCTTATTGTTTTATACATGAGCTGTGCTTGCTTTTGTTGGCACTTGCCCCAGCAGCAATCACAGGAAAAAACGGCCAGGATAGAATCCCCCTCAGACACCGATTCCTCAGGTTATGATTAAGCCTTCAAATGTACAGTGGAGAGACCAAAACAAATTGCACTCGCGCAGTTTCACAAGTCATTTTGATACCGTCAATCACAGAGTCTGGTAAGGCAGTTGTTCAAATAGATTTGAAAAAAAGCACTTACCAGTCTTCTGAAGAATTCTCGGTATCCTGTTCAGTGACGCCAATTGTGAAGGTAAACTTCTGTTGTTGCAATGTTGAGGTAGAATGAAGGAGTCTGGAACCGTCGTTAGCCAAAGCACTGAGAGTTTATTGATCACAGTACATTAATTACATACGGCCGGGAGATCATCTTAGTTTCCCACCGTCCCGTGGTCCACCTTGCTTATCTCTGCCCCCAAAGCCACAAACATCGCTGCTACACGAGGAGAGGCCGGCCTACAGAAAGCCCGCGTTTACCTAATCAATAGCCGATGGCAGACAATGAACTACTTGTCTCAAAGAGATGCAGCCAGGTCTCAAACCTCCCCCACGGATATAGGAGAAGCGTTTGACCTGTGACCTCAACTTATAGAGGAGTCTTTGAGTGACTACAAGCAGATGTTTGCAGTATCACAGATTCTAAAAAACTATAAGAAGCTCTATAAACAGATCAGATTAAAATATTCTCTTACACACGTGTGCTAACAGTCTAGCCGTGAATACATCTACGTGACAGTTTTGACATGTCTTCAAATGCCGTTGCCTTGGCAACACAATGCCCGCTATGAAATACGGTTTTCTCATAATTTCAGTGAAAATGCTCCAAACGGCCCAAAACTTCACAGGTTTGGTAACGATGCAGCCATCAAAACATCTAAGCGTATTATGGGGTGTCATCAAATATCATTGCCATGGCGACAGATCATTCGTCATCAAGTTAGTTCAATCGTTTGCAGTTCAAATATTCTGCTGTTTTTCCAATCTTTATTACTTTATTTTCTTCTCTTACATTCAAGCCCCCAGTGTTCATGTATCATTTGAATCTAAATTCTTCACTTTCTTCTTACACATTACATTTCGGAATAACAATTCAGCGTCAGCTTTTCAGCATAAAGCATTCCCACTAGCAATTTCTTCAGGAATTGCATTCTCTAGTTACTACTACTACGCCTTCAACTGCACTCACTGGCAGTTCATAAACCTAATAACCTAGGTTCAAGGTTGGAAATCAAGTACATAGTTCACCACTTGGCAGAATAATTTCTATGTATTAGTATGTAAGGGCGGCAACCATGGGGGCAACACATCATGTATACAAACTTTCTTTTCGAGATGATACAAAAAATAGCTGAAATACTTTTATGCAAAAACATTTACTAAGGAGCTTTAGTTAATTAGCAGGATGATCCATGTAGAATGTAAGCTATGTGGACTTTGCTAAAAATGTAGCTCAGCCTGGCAACTTTCAAAGATGTGTTTGTTTCCACAGATTCCAAAAAATGCAGAACCCTGTCTCTGCTGCTGCTTTTCTTGAGACACTTATGGCATTTGTCTGCGAGCCGGCAGCCTGCCTGTTGGCTGCATGTCATTAGCTCTAAAACTCTGCTTTGGCAAGGCAGCATGCCGTGCATGAAGAATTGTGGGAAATTCAGTAGGCGACCCCCCCACCTCTATTGTTTAGGAAGCTTCTTTAGTACTCTAAACATGTAGTCTGGGGTCGTAGGAGCGCAGCTGTTGAAACCACAGTGGGACCTAACAACACACACATCTCATTTAAAATGTCTTGATTTACATAGATGTGATAGAGCCGCATCATAGGAAGAAACATTGTTATATTCCCCCAACTCGCTTGGTCAGGACACAAGAACATAATGGTAAATATCTGAAAGCACGCACACAGTAACCATACAATAAATGTTTAAATAAACAGAAACACAAATCTATTTACTATATATTAGAGTGAAATCTAAAACCTATATGTACCTTTAATTATCAGTACCAAATGTATATCCAAAGCCATCTAACCTGTATGTGTGTGCCTTATGTACCTATTCCAATGGTCTCTTCCACTTCCAATGGAACAAATATTTAATTTATAAACAAAAAGATGAGCCTATTGCCACTCTCAAATTGTTATAAAAACAGTGAGAATATCATTTAGCTGTGGCTGCCAAACATATGATGACACACACAGAACAAAACTCATATTGTCACTAAAGTGTGTATGTGGGGAGGAGGCTGACGGGATTTAACTAGCATGCTTTGAGCTGAGTATAAGTGAGGAGGGGAAAGAGCAAGTGCTTCAGAAAGGGCGAGAGGGAGTGAGGGAGCATATGTGCAGGAGGGTGGGAGGGTAGGAGAGGGAGAGGGAGCACGAGCGGATGGGTGCTGTGCAATCCGTAAACAGGGGAGCTCTGAGCATTTGTTAGACGTCTTGGCTGCTTGCCCAACTTGGCTCATTGTAATCAAGGCATGATCGTCGACTCCAGGCAGCACTCTCTGCCGTCCCGGCTGCCTCTCGCCTGGACCCTGCCCAGCTCTCAGCGCTGACATGGAAAGACCTGTGAGTGCCTTCACTCTCCTTCTCATCCATCTCTCTATCCCTCTCTCTCTCTCTATCTCTCTCTCTCTCTCTCTCTCTCTCTCTCTCTCTCTCTTCTCTCTCTCTCTCTCTCTCTCTCTCTCTCTCTCTCTCTCTCTCTCTCTCTCTCTCTCTCTCTCTCTCTCTCTCTCGTGTTAGGTTCCCCCTATTCCTTTTCCTCTGTCGCAGATTTAGCTGTGGCTACATGCAGCGTTTCTCTTTCTCTCCCTGCTGTAGCTCCTGTAGGTGGCAGGAACGCTGGGTATGGAGTAAGCCTTGGCAGCGTTCTCCCTGCAGGGCCCCCTCCCTCTGCCTGTCCTGGGCATGGGTGCTGTCCGCTGGCAGACCCACAACGTCTCTGTGTATTTTGTTGTTGCGTGTGTTTGCGGCACAATCACAAGACTGTCCGGCAGAACCCAGAGGGGTACCGTGCCCTTGCAGAGTATCCCCACTTCAGTTTGTGGAGGCCGGGGTTTACTTCATAGCCATTGGCCTCGCTGAGATTTAGATTGGGCAGCCGGACTCTCCCTTGCGCCTATTCTTGGTGGTATGTCCTCATGGTGTGTTGTGTTTGGATACCCTGACAACTAGAAGCTGTGAGGTAACCACTTTTCAGCCTGACACTTCTCTGAGTGAGTCCCAACTTCTGCTCACGTTGTCTTTCCAGGCTTGACACAAAACTGCATTCAGGATGTGTAGTTTGCTATTATACTTAAGGCTGTGCAAACACATTCAACATCTCAGTGTCAGCTAATCTTTGTAGGCGTAACAAGGACAACGGTGGAAAAATACACCGAATAATTTCTTGTCAGTACCAATGTGTTGGTCTTCGTGGGCTCACTAGCTGTGAGTCATCATTCTGTGTATCATCACATCAAAGCTGCCTTAACTTTTTCGTCGTCACTGGGGGCAACAATGGAGATAGACTGACTTGTTTTGGCACATCTACTTCCTGTCTCTGCCGAGAAGGTCTGACCCTTCTAAAATAATTCCTACATGAGTGTGGAGAATGGGATACATCGAGTGAATTATGAGTTTTCACAGTTTCAACAACCACCAGTCAAAACATTTATATTGTCACTTCTTCTCAGCTTTATCTAACAACAGTCAGTGATCCATTATTCATTCGAAGTGGGAAATACTTGTTTTAATTGAGTCTACATTTGAACAATGGTTTTCATTTATTGGATATTATCAGTGCTGTTGTTGTCTGCTGAATGAAAACTTTATTACTATATGAGGAGAGATGCAACCCCTTAGTTGCTGGCATAAAATAATCTAATTCATAACTCTAGTCTTTTTTCATCTTTTCAAAAGGTTTGGACATGTTTCAATCTATCACATCACTTTTTGTCCAGAAAACTAAGGGAATTATTACAAAAATTGACATGTTTGTGCCTTTTCCAAGCTTAAACTATGAGATGAGCCAAAATCAACCATCCGCTTCAGAAGATAAATGTTTTTCTCTGTTTGTATCATCACATTGCCTGGGGCATGTATTTATGAAACAACAAAATATGAAGTAAGGAATTATTGTGATCAGTCCTCGTGCTGGCATTTCAACCTGGTGTACTAATTTAAAGGATTAGTTCAACCTTTTGGAATATGCACTTTCTTGCCAAGTATTAGATGATAAGATCCAGACCACTCTTATGTTTGTAAGTTAAGTTTGAAGCTACAGCCAGATGCCAGTTAGAGCTGCAACGCCAACAGTTTTTATAATTGATTAGACCTTAGAATAATGTTTGCCTTTAAAGAAGATTGTCTGCATTTTCTCAGTTTTTTATAATATCATACTTAATAATATGAGTTTTGGACTGATAAAACAACTTTATTTTAACGACTTAGACTTGAGAAGCTGGGATCGTCCTTTTTTACTTATTTCAGATATTTGAATAAACCAAACAAATAATTTAGAAAATAATTAGCATATGAATTGATAATAAAAATGAGTTGCAGAATTCTAGTTATCTCTGGCCTCTGGCTGTTTTGTTGCATCTCTGACGTGTCATTAATATGATCCTATAGTGATTCTTAAACCTCATGCTGCAGAAAGGAGTCCCTCATAAACCAATCTCCTCGGACATGTGCCTCTTTAGTAGCCAGTTAAAGAAACCCTTAGGCCCCCAAAGAATATAGACCAATATAATTAATGTGCTGCAGGCAAAAGAAAATGATTTGGGACATGGTTAAGGCCTCATCGTTATCATTCTGTAACAATATCCTTATCTTTAATATCGGTGCACATTTCTTAACTCAGCACCTCTCTCTCACATGTTGCAGATGGTACAGTAAGTTAATGAGGGTCCTTTATGAAGGGAAGTGTTAACACACATCTGGTTGCTGCTCCATGAGAGAGATTATCAGTATGGGGCCTCTTGTCGTGTGAGTAGGCCTGCCCTGCTGACCACATTAGGATTTTTAGGATACTCCGCATATGCATTCTCGCCCTGTATCTGAGCTCTGTAATGAATGCTCCATCTGTGGTTGTTGTGCGGGTGTGTTTGTGCTGTGTCTTTTATCACGGCACACTTAGTGGTGTATTGAAAACCATCAAGCACTGTATTTATTGGCTTCTTTAATCAAATGTTATGGACTATTTTCAATGAGTTAAAAAATAAAGTATTGGGTTAGTACCCCCTAGAACTGATATGATATCCAAAAGCTAAAAGTTACAAAAAGGTCTGTGATATGGCACTAGAGAAAAATTGAAATGTGTTAAAAAATGAAATGTGAATTAACTTTTTTATTGTGTCAATGATCTTTTATGATCTGATTTTTTCCAGGCCCCCAGTGACATGATGCCCAAGAGGGATCATGAGAGGGACCTGGAGCTGGACAGGAAAATCGAGGCTCTCCGCAGGAAGAATGAGGCGCTCATGAAGAGGCACAAGGTAAGGACAAGTGCCTGGAGGCAGAGTGGCTTCTGAATGTAGCTCGTGCAGGCTTCCTTATTATTCTATTGTTTTCATTGACTTTCATTTAGGAAGTTGAAGAGGACAGGAAAAGGGCAGAAGAGGAAGGAATTATGCTGCAGAGCCGAAAGGGCAAAGCTGAGGATCTTACCATCACAATCAGCAAGACCACCAATGTGAGTTTGCTATAATGATGTGACTGATGCTATTGGTGCACACAGTCTCATTTAGTCGTGAAAACAAGATGCCACAAACACTGAGAATATTTTTGTTTCTTTGGTTTGAAGCAGGATAGTCGGGTTGTGGTGAAGAAGCCATTCAGCGGTGGATCACCAGCAGGTAAAGGACAGGAGGAGGCCGGGCCCAACATGGGAGAAGAAGGCCCTCCGCAGGGTCCCAGCCGGGGCCACAGGAAGCAGCTAATGGTCACCATGGCTGGCAAAAAGGTAAATACACCTCAGTGCCAATGTTTGCCACTAGGAGTTAACAGCTCTTTTGAACCACAACAGTGCTCTGATCTAAATGCTAACTTCTGCATGCTAACATGCTCACAATAACAATGCTAAATAGTAGGGCTGTGCAATTAATTGTATTTTAATCGCGATTACGATTATGGCTTGCGACGATTATGAAAACAGCATAATTGACAAAATACGATTATTTTGCTGGGTGCGCTTCACCCCTCCCTAAAAGCCCACTCGGCCACGTAGTAGTGATATGTGTTGTGAGTGTTCAGCGCAAGCGCAGATGTCAGAACAAGAGCAGCAACTCGTTAAAAAGAAGGGTACAACTATTTCCACTATTTGGAAGTACTTTGGCTTTCAGGAGTCCGACGTGGAGCAAAAGAAAGTAGGCCTACAGTGCAGGATTTGTTACCAGGTTGTGTTGGCACCACACGCTAACACAACCAATCTCTTTAATCATCTGAAATACAACCACAAAGTGCAATACGACCGGGCAATAATACAACAAAAAGCAGATGCCGCTCGACTTCATCCACCACATCATCACAGTCATCGATTCAGGACGCATTGTACAGAGCAATGGCCTACGCGACGAGCTCGCAGAGACAGAGATATTACAGGTGCCATTACATTTCACATCGCTAAAGATATGTGCCCAGTTAGCACTGTTAGCAACCAGGGCTTTAAGCAACTTGTCAACACGTTGGACAAGCGTTACGCGATGCTGTCTCGGTATTATTTCATTCGGTATTATGTGACAAATGCCGTGGGGAAGTTGAGAGAGATGTGGCTTCAGCTGACTACTTTGCCACCACAACGGACCTATGGTCTAGCCCAGGGGTGCCCAACCAGTCGATCGCGAGATGTGTCTAAAAATAGAACAACAATATTCTGTTTTATCGTTAATGTCCTGTAACATAATCTTCCTGTGCCAGAATAATGCACTTGAATGCATCAAAGCTTTGTGATTGGCCGGCGTCACCCCTGTGTCGGGGCGTGGCTGAGGGTCTTCAGTACAGGTGGCAATATCGTCACCTGCCTGCGCTCATCTCTGAAACCAGACCATGTAAACAGCCTGGTGTTTCTTGCAAAGCATCTTTAAGAGATGACATGAGCAGCCCTACCAGCATTTGCCATGGTGGCCTAAACATTTTTATTTGGTCTTAAATTGTAGTTCAACATTTATTTCCTGTTACTTCTGGACCATGACGGTTGGCCAGCCTTCAACGTTTAACTGAGTGGAATATGTTGAATATGTTTTACCAAAATGTTGGCTATATGTTAAGGAGTGTTCAGTAGGTTGTGACAGTGCACTGCAACATGTTTGATTTCATTTATTTTGGTCTAATTTATTTTTATTTATCATATTAATAATATATGTTTAGTATGGTTTTGGAAGAGCGCTCCAACATATTTGTTGATCTTGTTTATTGGTAAAATATTATTTGTTTTAAAGTTCAATAAATGGTCAATGAATAATCGTCAAAATAATCGTGATATCAATTATTGACCCAAATAATCGTGATTATGATTTTTGCCATAATCGCACAGCCCTACTAAATAGTCTTTATCATGTTTACTATATGAGGTTAGCCTGCTAACATTAGCTAGTTAGCACAAAATAAAACTGATGCTAGAATTGAGGGGGGGCAATAAGTGTGTGTGTGTGTGTGTGTGTGTGTGTGTGTGTGTGTGTGTGTGTGTGTGTGTGTGTGTGTGTGTGTGTGTGTGTGTGTGTGTGTGTGTGTGTGTGTGTGTGTGTGTGTGTGTGTGAGCGTCTGTGACACTGCATTTTATATAAGTAAAGACATGTTTACAATATGTTAGGAATGGGGGGAATGTATTATTCAACTGTTATCCTGTTGAATAATGAAGATGCTTGATTCAATTGTAGGGTTTTGGTAGCTCTTTCACAATCCTTTGACCACATGCCCATTGCTACAGTACTGATACCCTAATAAGAATGTGTGTCTCTCCAGGGTAAGAGGGTGGTGAGTGAGAGGCCAGAGAAGAGGCCAGGCTCTGCGGACGTAAAGAGCCCTGCAGATGACGGACAGACGAGGCGTGTGGAGTCGTCGGGGAGGGTGAAGCATCCACCTCACATGACCAAAAGGGACACGGCAGCACAGGTGGGAATCAGTCAATTATCATACGCTCCAGCATTTTAAACCCCGCCATGCACCCTCCAGTGTGTCCCCACTCTCTCAACCCCCCTTGTTCATCCTCTCGTGCTGCACTGATGTGTTTTACATAGATGTCAGACATGTCGGCTGGCCACACCCCTGCAGTGATGGAGCACAATGGTGTGTAGACAGGAGGTGGACTGGAGCAGTGACGGACTAGTGTGGGATTAACGGGGAGTGGGCTAATAGAGCTTTATGTTAAGTAGATGCACTGTAGATCCTACATATCAGTTTCAAGGCCTACTACTTTTGTGCAGTCTAATCCTAATTACAGCTGCAAAATAACTGTTATTTGCATATTTCCTTTCCGTTATTTATCATTTTTATCTACAGGATATTTTCTACATGAATCGATGAATCATGCGGTCTGTAAAATGTCAGAAAACCGGGAAAATGTGTCTTTATATGTCTTGTATTATCAGTACAAAACCCAAACATATTAAGTTTAGTTTGATTAAACAGAGAAAAGCAAAAAAAAGATCCTAATTTAAGAGGCTGAAAACAGCATTACTGCCATTTTTGGAGAAAAAGTAACTTTACTACTGATTATTTTGTAATGAAAACAGTTTGTTTTTCTATCGAATGACGAATTGAAATATTTTCTAATCGTTAAAACTAATGATTTTAATCAGGTATGATGGCTATTTATCTTCTTCCCCTATGAGCGGCTTTTATTTAGCCATTGGGCGCATGGATCAGGCTGTAAGTCCCTCCAGCTCTTGCAACACAGTTCCTTGTTGTTTGTAGTATGAGATCAGAGACGGCATGTTTAACATCAGTAGCTTCACTATATACTGTAGGTCTCAGACCACATGTTGTGCACAATGCAGATAGGCAGAGACCATAGGCGGCGGGTGAGGCTCAGGTTTGGGAAGGCTATAACCAGAGTTGGGTGTAATAATATTACTTTGTCGGTAACGGGGTAGTGTAACGCGTTACTTTTATAATTTAGTAATCACACTACAGTTACTAACATTGCCCCGACACGCGTTACTTCGTTACTTTTATAAAATAATCACACTCACTGACAGACTAGAGGGGTTTCCGCCGCAGGTTTATATACATGTAGGCCTATGTAATCTGCGCGATTTGCGAGACCACATCTCCGCGTGCAGTGCTGCATAAACATGGCTGAGTCTTGTCATCTGTAAACTCCCTCAACGGGCCGCTCGCTCTCTTTTGTTGATCGCCCTCTCACGGGTGAACAGTTCAATGTCCCGCTTCATTGTAGGAATTCTGTCTCTACCACTTTAGTTTGACCATCTCTGTTACTAAGTTATGGAATACTAAATACATAAGTCATTAGATACCTTACCGTTACTGCGCTCATAAAGAATGATAAGAATAATGCGTCTTGAACTGGTTTCATTAATTAATGTCTTGACGTTTCACAGACTGTTAGCTTGTTGTGGTAGGCTGGTAGCCTATTTTAGAGCATATAAAAAGAAAGACTTGTGTTATGTCTTCCTTAATGCAATAGTAATTGGGGGTGCAAGTGGAGTCTCGCAGAGGCAAAACTGTGGCGCGCACACTGTAGGTGCGCCGCAGTCTGCGTGATCTGCCAGTAGGGAGGGGCGGGCCGGCCCTGCGAGTAAAGTAACGAGTAAAGTAACGAGTTACTTTATGTAGAGAGTAACGAAGTAGTGTAATATATTACTTTTTTTAAAAAGTAATATGTAATATATTACTTTTTTTTAGTAACGACCCCATCTCTGGCTATAACTTTTTTTACCTGACCCTACCCGCCTCCGGCGTCTATAGAAAAGAGATCAACTCAGTGTGCGGAGTTTAAATCTCTCAAATCATATTACAGGATAAAGGAAATACAGTTTAAACTGCGGTATGCAGAGAAGACGCCGACGTGTCGCACGTATCATTCATATTCAGTGTTGTGCTAGTTACTGAAAACCAGTAACTAGTTACCATTACTAGTTACTTCATTTCAAAAGTAACTCAGTTACTTTACTGATTACTCACACCAAAAAGTAATGCGTTACTGTGAAAAGTAACGTTTTTTAATTACAAAAAGGGCTCCCATTAATGCCCTTATAGCCTTCATTTCAGTACTGTTATTGCATTGGAGAATAATACAAGTCTGTTGATCAACTTGACATGCATTATATGCAATCTGGATTGCATCGATATTAGCTGGCTTTCCATTTTTGTATATTCTTTCTCCAGGTAGTTGGAAAAAGTGTTCCGTCCCATATGCCGTGTGCCGCCCGGACATGCTATCATGCTAACTAGCTCCCTGAAAAGCGGGTGACTCCACTGTAGCAATAGCCTGCATGTGTTCTACAACATACCGTGCAATGGCTTTATCGACTTTTCCCTGGCTAGCAGTCCCTTGGTTAAAATCCAGCCGCTGTTGCTTAGGTGGAGGTGGAGTGGCGTCGGCTGAGTCTCTGTGGTCTTAGCTACTAGCTTCGTCCCAGCATGTTGTTTTTGCAGATGTTTTAAGAGATTTGAATTGCTGTTTTGGGCAGTAGATAGGATCTTTGACCCGCCAAGACACAACTTACATTTAACTAAAACGTTCTTTTCTTTGTGCTCGACAAAAGTGAAATAGTGAGAATATCTCCAGGTGGAGAAACTAGACTTGAGCTCTGCCGCCGCCAAGATAGTCTTGTTAGTAAACAACACAAACACGCCCACAGCCCGTCTCCGCATGTGACACAGGAAGTATCTAAGTACATTTACTCAAGTACTTAAGTACAGTTCTCATCTCTGTTCGCCTGGCTGTTGACTATATAAAAAAACTAACGGAGTAACGGAGTAACGCACCATGTAGTAACGGTAACCGAGTTACTGGAAATAAAAAGTAATGCGTTAGAGTACTAGTTACTGCCAAAAAGTAACTTTGTAACGCGTTAGTCCCAACACTGTTCATATTACATCATCAATCATATCATCGATCATATAATATCATAATATATCATATATTTCCTTATCTGAATCAGCTTCTCCAGCCGTATCTGGCCGTGCAACACTCACAGTGTCACATACTGTATGCAGAAGTATTATTTTAAGCAACACATTATGTTGACGAAACACTCGAGTCAAATGTAATTAAAGTCAGATCCACTCGTGTCTTAGATGGGGCAGTGATATCATAAAACTATACGCTTTCAAACACTCGGTAGGCCTAGTTATTTTTTAACCAGTTGTTCTGTATTCACCTTGCAGGGGCAACTCTGTGGCTTGTATCCTGGATTATATGTTTAAATCATGGATGTTTAAAGCTCATATTTGTCTAATATTAGTTTACTTTTCATTAATGAAGTATGACGCTGCGCTGTCAGTACACTTGTCCCTGTTTGTGATTGGTCAAATGTAGCTAACCCCGCCCCCTTGAACGCGCTCTCAGCTGGTGAGAGAAACCCTGGCTTGATTTACCGAGTTGATAACCAGCGTCGTAGGACCGCTTAGCGAGATCTCGTGTGTTAGTTTGTTGTTGTTAGTTAGTTTGTTACTCAAACATATCCAGGGTCTGTTAAACTGGCTTCGTAGTACAGGGCACAGGTGGCTAGCAGCGCTAATGTCAAAGACACAGACATTATTATATTTATATTTTACCAGGATGCAGTGACACAAATATTTGGGAAGGCTTAGCCTTCGCTAGCCTACAGCACCCGCCGCCCCTGGCAGAGACACATGTACACATGCAGTGTCCCTGGTAGGGCTGTGAAATACCAAACTGTCATTGACCTTAGCCCCCCCCCCCCCAGGGTATGCAGAAACCGAGGAACAGCTGCTCTGCCTCAGTCTGCCTCAGTCACACACACACGCACACACACACACACACACACACACACACACACACACACACACACACACACACACACACACACACACACACACACACACACACACACACACACACACACACACACACACACACACACACACACACACACACACACACACACACACACACACACACACACACACACACACACACACACACACACAGCTGCTCAATCAATGAGTTGCTGCACAGCACAGACATCACCAATAGGCGCATTCACACCGCAGTACTTTTCCCACAAAGGTTCATGAGAACTTAGTTCATGAGAACTCTTTAGTTCTCGTGAACTAAGTACAGATCGCATTCACACCGGAATACATCCCTGGGGGTGGATTAGGCAAATGAAGCCGCTGACGTCACTTCTTCTTCTTCTGCTTTGGGTTTACTGGCAGGCCGCAAACCACTTCACGGCGTATACTGCCGCCCAAAGTCCCCGGCCGGAAGTCCCCGGAGTTGGGGACTGGCTTCAGAGTAAATCGCCAGAAGGCCGACACCTCCTCATCTCCAACGCTCCCATGTTTTATTTTGTGTTGCCATAAGTTAGTCTCTCTGCGTTTCTGCGCTGGGCTAATGCTAATGCTAATAATGCTAATGCGAGGATAATAAAATGGCGGCTTCACAAAACTTTTTGGGAGTTTTACGGGGCGTGGTTTGCAATCCGCCCAGCCAATCAGACATAGGAACCTTTTTCTCCCACGAAAGTCTAGCAGGGACTGAAAAGGGGGGTAAAAAGGTTCTCATGAACTAATTTTAGTACCGGCTCTTTTTGGTGTGAACGCGACAAAAGAGTTCTCATGAACTAAGTTCTCATGAACCTTTGTGGGAAAAGTACTGCGGTGTAAACACAGACACAGTCTTGTCTCGGGAAGGGTCTCCGGACACAAAGCTAGTGGCAGTGTTGCCAACTCCATAGTAAGGAAAGTAGCTATTGGCTGTCCGGAAAGTCTTGCCATAAGTCGCTAAATGACGTCATCGCCTAATTTGCATATCATGTAATGGCGGCTGTAGGAGAGAGCATGGTAGAGGGGAGTACAAAAAACGTTCCCAACCCTTCAAGGATCAAATTCTGGACTTCTCCAGGAAAGCATCATGATGTTTAGCTTGTCACAGATATGTTTAGCTTGTCACAGAGAGGCACACACACAGTGGACGAGGTGATTGAGTGACTGAGGCTGTGTGAGTCAAAGCAAAGGCAGTTATTTATTATAGTGTGAAAGTGAGTGAAGAAACATTTACATTTTACATTTAAATCCCGCTCAAAACCAGGACGGCTTGGCAGTTGGCGCATGCGCAATTCATTTGCAGTCTCGACGCGGGGGAGTGTGGTTGTCTCCTCTCTGCTCTGACTGCAGCAGCAGCTCTGCTGCGGCCAGGCAACTGTCAGTCTGAGCGCCTGTGAGTACTATGGGAGGGAGGCGGGGCTCACGGCAGCACCCGCGGCTCGTTAACTGCAGAACAATACGTGAGTCTCCAAACACCAGAAAAGTCCCTAATAACACCATTATAAATCGTTAGATTAGTCGTTAGTCGCTTTTGACACAAATAAGTAGCCGGAGGGTTTGGAAAGCCGCCAAATTTAACGAGAAAATCGCCAAGTTGGCAACACTGGCTAGTGGAGGCTGAATATGTGTGTAAAATACATCTGCCTCTGATTGGCTGCCTACTGGCCTCAGTCTGAGTTCATGTGCACTGTATGGGCCGAACACGGTGTTCTCCTTTCTTTGTTTCTGGCCCTCTTGTTCTGTCCCTTTTTATTTATCATGTGGACTGAATCAGCACTTGAACAGTAGCCAGTAGCCAGTGATCTGTGAATCCCAGAAACCTGGTTTCCATGAGGGCACTGTTTACACAACCGGTATCATTTAACTCGGTGTATGAGAGCTGGGGTGGAAGCGCTGCCAAAGGGTGTTGATGGGGAGAGAACATGTCATGGATCTATCTGGCAAGTGTTAGAAACATATTTGTATGTAAGTTATCCATGATGAGCTGCACATTTATCTGGTTTGGCCTCGCCTCTGAAATATGTTTCCAATAAGTGTGTGTGTGTGTGTGTGTGTGTGTGTGTGTGTGTGTGTGTGTGTGTGTGTGTGTGTGTGTGTGTGTGTGTGTGTGTGTGTGTGTGTGTGTGTGTGTGTGTGTGTGTGTGTGTGTGTGTGTGTGTGTGTGTGTGTGTGTGTGTGTGTGTGTGTGTGTGTGTCTGGGGTACACCCTGGAAATAAATAATAACTGTGAGAGGAGTGTGGTGTATTTGGCAGTGTCCCAAGCAGATTGTATTGCCTGGAAGTATCCTGTGACTAGACTGTCAGTTCACACTCATAAGAGAGAGACCGCAGAATAGGAAATGTGGAATGAATGAGGAAAAACGAGCTGGGGGGTGAGAGAGAAGGGGAGAGACCCCTGGCAGCTCGCTAGCTGTTTCCAGCCTCCATTTCTCCTCTCTGGAACCTTAAGTGGTCTGCCTTCCTCTGGCACGATTGTTTCCCCATTCCCACCACCCTGAAAGGACCGATTTGATCTAATTAACATTCGACTGCCTTCTCACTCTGAAAAGGCTCATTATGCTGCCAAAGAGACAGGCCTGGCGAGGTGCCAGGAAAGGATCAGAGAGGGAGAGGAAGAAGGAGCGAGAGTAGAAAGAAGTAACAAGGTGGACAGGACTCTTTTGTGTTTGTGCATAAGCCTGGCTGCATTTGGGTGGTGTGGGTAGCACAGTGTGTGCACCAGACCATGCTGTCCAGCATTTATTGTCATCCCCCTCCTCGGTTGTTCATACAAGTGTTGCTGTTAATGGCAACATGACTCATCCACTGTGTTCAATGGAGCAGTCAGTAATACACTTCAATCAAAATTCACACAACTCTCTACCTGCAATGAGATGAGTTTCATTTTCCAAACCACTGAAATGCATCCACCTGCACTCTGCTATGATGACCTCATTGCAGAAAGGACATTTCAAGTCATGATGTAGCACCATGAGTCCACATGGGGGCAGTGTAGCTCTCTTAATCTAGGTTAATGGATGAGTCTGTGCTCTGGCCTGATGTGCTTTTACTGTTTATTGCAGCCAGCAGTAATGTGACTCTTTACATCCATGTTCAATTGGCTGGCGACAAGTTGCTGTGTCACCTTTATTGTTGTTATGTTCAACTTCCTTTTTCTTTTGTGTCTCCCCTCTCTGACAGGATGAAGTTAAACAAGGGCAGAAGCACGCTGAGGAGCATCAAAGGCTTTCAGAGCAATGCCAGGTACCAATGCCTCCGTCGACATAAAAGAGCAAAGCCTATTAACGAGCATATTATCACGATCTCTAGCACATACCCTTCCTAGGATGTGAGATATTATTTGCTGGGTTTCCACACAAAAACACAAAGAAATGCAAATACGCACTTTACCCTCCTCATCACAGTTCCTCACAGGGAGACAGACACGAAATGTTGGCACACACAACCTCTATTTCTAGAGCTCATCCCCATCTGGCTCGCATGTTAACGTCGCTGGAGTTTCTCAGCTGTCTCGTAGATCGTTTGTGGGCCAAACATGAGAACCAAGGAGGCAGGGAAGGTGGGCTTCAAAGGCCCACCGAACACACACATGACAAGTGATGCTGTTCATGCCTCTCTGCACCTTGCCTGCTCTGCAGCCCGAGCTGAGACAGTGAAAGAAAATACAAAGCTGAGTCAGACAGCGCTTTGCTTTTGTTTGCTGCTTTGTTTAACAAATGTACCAGAAACCTCTCTGGCCTAAACCAGAGCAGCTTTAAATGGAAGACATTCAGCAGTTGAGAATAAGAGCATTATTATTTACCATGTACCAATCTATCTAAAATCAGCTCCATCCACACTCACTGTGCAACGTCCAGCCTACCTGCCGCGGCCCCCCCACGTAAGCAAGAAATTGACAAGTGCTAATTAGCAGGGCGGCTACTGTGTCAGCCGGAGACGGCCTGTTGGAACATGCGAGAAGCTTCCTCCCCTGTGGCCCCATGATGTCCTCCAGGAGGGGAGCAGAGGGATGAGTACAGATGCCGTGTTCGCCAATAACTGTACAACATGTTTACTTAGCTGTGATTGGTCCACACCTGAGAAGAGAACATCACGCGTCTTGGTTTCTTACCAGCCACTGTGCTGTTTCTCTTTGTGTTATGAAATGCAGAGTGTTTTCCATTTTACACACACGATTCTAATATTTCAGCAACATAATTTGCCTCCTGCTGTAATACAATCTAAACACTGATGAGCACTGATCGCCCGTCTTTTGCGTGATTTCCCTCGGAGCACAGCAGTGTTTTTATCCGCCCAAGGGCTTTGTTACAAGAGCACACAGCCTCTGTCCCCTTTGATGTGATAAAGAGCCTGCATCAGATCTCTCTTTAGTATTAGCAAGCAATCCTTTCTGCTCTCATCGCAGTAATCAAAACAGGTTAAGAGGGGAATGGAAGAAGGGAACCTAATTACATTTACAATTACATTGCACTTTTCCTGGAATATTGTCTGAAAGAATGGGATTGTGTTGCTTTGCAGTCGCCACAGTACTCAAACAAGAAGCTTTTTCTATCAAATGGGAGCTAAGTGGAATGTACCGACACTAAAAGGCCATCATCAGCATTACAGTGACTCAGCTATGGGCGTTAACAGTAATGTGGAATGCATGAAAACAATACAAGTACTATATTGGTTCTAAACCCTACTGATCTGTTTGAAGTTGTTCTTGTTTATGACCAGCCGGGCTTCATTTCTCTGATTAGTGAGTAGATTGTTGTGTTGAGTAATATGATATGATCCACATTCAGTGTGCTACTTGTATTATGCATTTAACACAACTAAACTGCTTTGTGTCTGCTAAGGAGTCTGAGAGCCTGCAGGCCAGCACAGACCTTAACATCCCCACGTCGAAGGAGGAGCAGGAGGGGTATGCGCGATGGAAGAGAGAGCGTGAGCAGATCGACAAGGAGCGAGTGGCACGCCACAAAAACTCCAAGGGCCAGTGGAGACGGGCGTGGGACCTGGACAAGACTGACTACATGTAAGACTCTCAGTTTTCCCCAGGCTCTTCATCTGATAATGTCTCAGATTTCCTACAGTTTCGCTGCCGTGTGATATTTCATTGGCTCCTTATATTTTTATGATGGGTAATTCAGTTCCAATAATATTTTTTTAAACATTTGAATCGTCTGGAGCTTCAAATTCACAGTTATCTTTCAAATAGTCTTTGAGCAGTTGGTAGTTGAGACGTTGTTAGTTGTTATTTGTTCTGTTAGGAATTGGGAATCAATCCCTTAGATAAACACTTTTTTATATTTTATTCTTTATGGTTTCCTTTAACTGTGCTGATAACCCCCATCGTGTATTTAAAAAAGGGGCTAGTTAACTTTTTGGGAAATTCGCATATTCATTTTTTGCTGGAACATAATGCAAAGATTGATGCCTCTCTCATGTTTATATTCAAACAGCTAGCTTAGTATAAATATTGGTGGCAGGATGAGTACTGTAAACTGCTTGCATTGCACTATTCAAAGGTCACAAATATTTCTACCAAATACCTCTAAAGCTCCCAATTTTATATTTTATATTCAGTTTTTTCAATCTGTAGAGTAATGCAGAAATGTAAAAATGACAATTTGTGGTTTTACAAAAATGAATTCTGGGAGTATATATTTTTTGATTGAGCCGTTTTATTTAAAACATTTAAACTTGTAGACTAGGTTTTTTTTTCTTGTGACGTTCAGACAAAGCCATGCTAGTTAATTCCCCTATTTCTCGCATGATGCTAAGCTAAACTATGCTAACAATGTTACTGTGTGTTAACAGACAAACTTGAGTGTGGTTAGGAATCAATCTTTTATAGTTCTCTTCTCAAGTCTCTGCAGGAAAATAAATAGGCACATTTCCCCGAAAAAGGTTTACTATTACTTTATTAATTAGTGAATTAAAAAAATACACTGTAATTGGGTACAAATTATCTTATTTTGGAGTGCAATCAAATCGTGTTTCAATCTTGTTTTTCTTCTGAAACTGCTGAAAAGCTTCATTCACTTTCAGTGCAGATGTAAATAACAAACAATCTGAGCTTGAAGAAGTTCCTGTTTCTTTCAATATTAGTCAGTGGAGGAATCCATTAGACGAGGTTCTTGGAAACTACATTTCCTCCCAAATGACCACAAGACTAAATCTCATGAAGTCACAGGATGTTGCTAAATTATTGTGTCACTAAATAATCAGGCAAATTGACTCATGATATATTCTATTTGGGAATAGTATGTTAGCCTAACTATTTGTGCATTCTCATTTTGTGAACAGTTTTTGAAAACGCACATTAGCAACCTAAACTGACTGGAGGAAAGAAATGCAGCACATTCCTGTCAAGTGTTTGTTAGATTTCAAACAAAACAAGCTGTCGTACAAAGAGTCACAGAGAGAATAATGTGCTGTTTAAGGAAGCTTCGAAATGTAAAGAGACAAGGGAGGAACGGCTATTTTGAGTTCAGGATAAGGGATGGAATACCTTGCCTTATTTGGCGAGGCCGTAACAAGGCACTGGAGTAAGAATAGAAGAGGAAATGTGTTTTTTATTCAACAATATAAATGGCTTCACTGCTTGTAAAATACAAGGGTGTGACTCATGGAGTAAAAACCTCTCACTGATCCTGCAACACCTACAATTCTCATAATGTACAATAATGACACTTCAATGTCAGAAGAGGCTGCTGGTGGGATGGATTGGCTGTTATGTCACCTGGACTCCATTGGTTTAACTGAAACCTCCTCTTTTAGGTTTTCAGACAAATCCATCCCTGACTGGGGGCCTTCCAGCAGAGGTGAGACATGCACACAGGCAATACTGAAAACGTGTTATAAGACCTTTCCCCACACACTATGAAGATAACATCATGTGTTTCGTTATATTGGTCCGGTTTTCTTATTTGTTCATATATTTAATCCATTTTCCTTTTCCAGGTGGACGAAATGCTAGAGGGAGAGGACAGTCCAGGGCAGGTGCAGTTTCCCACACTTAAACATGTTTAGAGCCTTGAAATCATCATTAGATGTACAAAACTTTAATATTTTGTGTTATTTTCTGAAGCCTCAGTGAACCAGTATTCTGAGAGTATCTTGCAGCTATATTTTGGTATTTTTTATGTTGAAACCAGATACTGGTGTGGGATATAATTCACAATGTTAAACTGGTCCAATATTAGCTTGTATGAAATAGGCATATAATATAGAGGCAGTGCTCAAAAATCATATTAAAAGATGTATAACACAAGACGAAGCGTAAACAATTTCATAGACTCTTGTCTCAGCAGAAAGGAGAAATGGCTTTTTATGTAAAATGCCATTTTATTGTGAGCTTCATTCACTGTGTTTTTCGGTCCTAGGTCACGAGAAGCGGGGGAAAGACAAGGGAGCTAAAAACGTGCAAGTGATAAGCAGCAAAGCAAAAGGCATAGAGCGTCTGACAGGAAGAGCGAGGAGGTCAGTACAAACAGCACACACTGATGTTAAAGTTGATCCAACCAATTGGATGTATCTCACCACATCCTCATGAAAACATGCAATAACTAATGAAATACATGAAGCGAATGGGGGAAGGCACGTTGTTGTTTTCCTGCCCTGTGCCCTATTGTACAAATTCTTCTTGATGTCATGAGGCTTCATTTAGAAGTTGTGGCAGCTGATTAAATAGCCCAGAATGCCTCATTGGTATATCACTGCATTCATGTATTTCTCCTCCAGCTTTCCTCTGCTGTGAAAGCAGCTACTTTGATGGGTTGAGTGAGGAGGCTTTCAGGGTATGTTGTTGCACAAGCATCGTCCATCATCTGAAAAGGCCAAAAGGTCACAAACCAGGAAGTGAGACATTTATTACGGCTTTCGGCACTGCACAGCCCAGGGCTAACAGTTGACTCAAGGAAAATTGAGTTCTCTACACACACATTGTAAACCCAGGTTTTACTTGTTTAAGCTGTACTTGTACTAACCGTTGGGTACATTTCCGTTAGGGCTGCTCAATTAATCATATTTTAATCGCGATGACGATTATGGCTTGCAACGATTACGAAAACAACATAATCGAAATAAAACGATTATTTTTTTATTATTATTATTACTTTTTTTTCCAGTTGAATTATACTTAAAGTCCAGGGTAATCAACTGTTAAAAACATACTGTTCACATTTTTTTTCTCTCCAATAAATGGATGTTTTCAAAGTCAAAGAATAATCGCATTTAATAATCGCAATTACAATTATTGACCCAAATAATCGAGATTATGATTTTTGCCATAATCTAGCAGCCCTAATTTCCGTGGTTGAAAATAAAATATGTTTTAGTCCTGTTTTACAAGGCAAACCCTTCTTTTGAGCAGGGCCAACAAACCATAGGAGAAAGTCGGTTGTTATTCCACTTTGGATTGTACCAGTGTGAAAGCTGGGAAATAATTCAAAGCCATATTATAACCTTTTTATGTAAACATGTAATGGGACCGATTATTTCCTTTCTTCGTGTCTCGGTGAAAATAAATAGGAAAGGATCATGAGCATTCAGGTGTGTCCTAACATATTCTTGTTATCAGGCTGTGCTGCTGTCACAGCTGGCAGTAGATTGTAGTTTAGTCAGGCAGCCCATAGGCCACTGAGGCTTCAACAGCTGAGACTAAAGCTAGCTTTAGCTAAACTACTGGCAGCTATCTATCTCCACTGTTCTGGTCCTTTACTCTCTCTTTATCAAATTCCTTTCTCATTTAGATGGCAGGCAAATGAAGACGGAGAGGAACCTACAGGTGAGACATGGGCAAGTGTAAACATGACTTGGTTCATAACTGTTAATAAAGGTGTAAAAATTGATTTGCTGCTCAAATCTCATCCTCCAGTCTGCTGACACAACGTTAGAGGAATTCTTGGAGGAACTTGACGCCCTCACAGACGCTGATGTAGAGGATCAGAAAGATGTGGACTTGAAAATGAAACCGTCACAGAGCCCAGATTCACTGAGAACATCTGAGGAAGTGAGTGGATCCACCACTGCAGTCACAGAGGACACCCCCCCAGATGACATGGCAGATACGTCGTCCCCTCAGGGTTCGGAAAAGAAAGTACGCTTCTCAAAGGAACTCATCCAGGGGTCTCACTCAAATCAAACCACAGGCTCTCAGGACTCTGCCTGCTCAGAATCAAGAGGTGCAAGCTCCTTGAAAGATTCCTCACCTAAAAAACAACAACATCAAGTGCAGGGGCCACAGCTGCCTCTTGAAAGTGCAAAGCAGGACGTGGATCAGGAAGGTGTCTCGTCAGCTCCTCCTATTGCCCAGCAGCAGGCTTCTGAAATCAAATGTGGTGAAAAAGACAGTGGCCCCAGTACAGCTCCCAGCTCCATCTCCACCGAAAAAGACAGTGCCTCTCGACAGGAGACCTCTGTTCAATCTATAGAGCTTGCCAAGTGCAACATCAGCAACACAAACACAGGTACGCAGAAACAACCTTGGCTATGAATTTTCTAACAGTGCACCTGGGTGATATATAACTAAGCTAATGTTGATTTTTCTTTAAAAGAAGAACTAATAGACTCCGGCCTGTCTGTCCTGAGTCTGGAGTCGGGAGAAACACACCCAACACACTCCACCAGCAGCGACAAGGTCAGTGTGCGTGACGGGAAGAGGGAAGAGAGAATCAATAAATGTGTAAATGGACTTAGGGAGGAAAGTGCAAATGTACCATGCTTTTAATGGATGAGAAGAGAGAGGCAATTTTGGTTTTAGTACTTCTCTAATGTGAAAAAGTCTCATGAGAGAATGTGTCTTCATCCCATCCACCACTGAAACAGCTTGACAATATATAAAACCATGCCATATTCATTCATTTAGAAAGGAAATACGTAACTTGATTATTGCACAAAGAAATCCAGTTGAACTAATACCTTTGTGCTGTTCTCTTTTTGTTGCAGGCAAGAGAGCATGGGAAGATTGTTTGACATTTTCGGGATGTAAATACTGAAACCAAGTCACAGCAACACAGACTTTGCCACCTTGCATTTGCATTTTGCTTCAGGTAGCTCATTTGAGATGCCCTGATTATGGCTTACACAGAGCACCATGGTTTAATTCTGCTATGGTTTTCAAATCGTCTCAAATTTGGATGAAGGAATGTTCAACATTTTCCTGCTCAAATATTTTTTACATCCAAGCACTATGAGTATTACAAGCATGTGTACTGACAAAATATTCAGCATGTCAGTACGCTGCCTTAGTGCAATATCATTGAATGTTTACATTTGTATGAAAATGTCAAGGTACATATCAGGAGGTAAGCTAATCAGTAACACTTAGATATAGCTCTTGAATAAAAACTTCAGCCACAGTCTAATTATCTAGTGCCTGATTCTGCCTTAGAGGTTTTTTTCAATAAGTAAATTAAAGTCTGTGTTATATAATGATACAGTAGTGACTGACATACAGTAGAGCCTGTATTTCTACCCACAGATAGTGTTTATTTACTACTTCCTGCATCAGTCTATGGCCTTTCACCAATCAAAAATCAAATCCTTGTTAAATGGCACATTTGAGACTTTTTGGCCATAGGCTTAGGTTTCTCAAATATAACTCCATTTTGTTGTTCTTAAGAGTTTTAAGGGGTACTTAATCAAGGACACATCAAGCTCTGTTTACGCTTCTTGGTGAGCGTTACTCATCTTGTAAAATGTAAACATTTTCTGTGGCTCTAGAGGAAGTTTATCAAATTGGATAAAACAAGCATAATTGAAGTCTCAAACGTGCCCTTTAACACATAGTTTTACAGCTGAATCCCAATCATCTGGTCTTCCTCAGACTCTTATGTTTCTTCTTAACATGGAATTGTAATTGTCTGTAAAATTACTTATTTAAACAACGGACTGCAGGATAATGAAAGTGAACCTTTTGTGAATCAAAAACTAATTTGGGAACTAGAACATTATGTTATTTGAATAGCTTGCTCCTGCTGTTTTAAAACAAGCAGTGTTAAGCGACCCAGTGCATAACAGCCTCCAGCCTTTTTCTCTGTAGAGGCTTTTGGCCCCTGTGGGACCCACAGACTTTCAGCCTTTAGTCCACAGTCAAAACACTGGGATTCAGCTGCAATTCCCTTTTGGCATTGTTTTGTATTGTGAGCTCTTGTATAATCATAAAAGACAACTTATATTTTTGAAAAGCTGATGAAGCTTCAAGAATTTAGCCATTTGTTGTGCCTTGCATATTGGCTTCTTCAAATATTGAAGGTGTACCTTAATTGTGTGTACCATAACATGCAGTAGTGTTAAACACTGTACTAAACATCAGCATTGATTTTATTTATTTGCCTTTCCATTTGGACAAAAGAATGTTAACTAGAATGATTTTACACAGCTAAATATGTTGTGAAACAATGTCTACTCTATGTACATTTCAGTAGCTGTTTTTTCCCTTTGTGACATGTATGGATTTGTTTTATTTATTGCCATTCTTAGATTTATTTTTGGTTTCAAGTGACAACTATAGTAAGAGGCCTCACAAGAACTCTGTCCTCAAATAAGTTGTTGGTTTCCGCCAGGCAATAATACAAAAACAGTTATGTAACCGTAAGTAGTGAACATAGTGGCTTACTCCGTGGGGCCCTGTCAGCTTCAGCTGTAGTTACATACAATATAAATCATCAGAAATCTAGCACACTGGAAAAACTAAGAAACAATTCAGAAATTCTAGACATCAAGAAAGAATGTGTGCTGTTTTTGAGTTGTGGCCTTATTCTATATTATATATGGAATTTGAATGGAGGGTAAAGGAAACATTTGTTTGCAAAACAGATAATACAGATTACCTCTGAAATATTTAAACTTCCCTGTGGGATTCAATTGAGTGAAATGAAATGTAGAACCTACAGCCATAGAGCAGCTGTGCATTTGTGCTTGATTAGCATTTAGTTATTATACATCTGCACTGTCACCTCCACTGCTGTCCTCCATGTTTTCCCATACTCTCATAAGGAAGGAAAATGTGTGAGTGCCTGTGTATAAGTGTGTATGTGATTACTACTTATTTAAATATGTGTGCAACATAGCTTAATTTACCCTAAATCCATTTGGAAGGAGGCATACAGATCATGAATAAAGCTTTTCTGTTTTTCAAACTCTCAAATCATGACTGGCATTGTTTTTTTGCATGTTCAACCCTCGTTTAGCTTCTGCCCCATTTCACTGTTTCCCCTGCGATAAACAACACAAATATGTATGCAAACCTTTCTAATTGTAAAGTCCTAAAAATAAATAAAATATAAGGCTGTGCTGATGTTCAGAGAGAAAGGAGGGCAGAAGTGTTGTAAATGTAGAGCACATTTTGGCATCAACAGCCTTCATGCTGGATTTGATTAATTTCTGATGAGTTCTCCGCAGGGCTGTCGGGTTGGAAACGGCTCCCTCTCAGCCCTACAGGTGGGACCTCCCATAGGTGCAACTGTTTTAATTATCCTCTCCCAAGGCTATCTCCATAGTAGCCTTCTGCTGCCACTCAGGCTTTAGGGTATATGTGACCTCCTGTACAGTTGATGTAAAAAAACATGGTTTTAATCGATAACACTCCTGGAACACTTTGGTGCTAGGCTACCCAAGGTTTAAGGGTCTGACGCAATGGTACAGTGCTACAGTGGGGGTGTTGATATTATGGAAATTAGTCCCGTAGGCTGTTAGAGGATTGAAGTGCAGTGTAGGATTATTTCATCTGCACTCTACCTAAACTTGCTTTGCTTTCCTAAGGTAGACAAAATAGCTAGATTTGTGGACTAAAACAGCTTTAAACAAGATGGTGCTGAGACCTGTCATTGTAGATTTCATAGGATCCTTTATTGTGTGCAATCACAGTTCTTTTTTGGTGCTAGGTGTCACATTTATGGATTAGAGAAAGTCCTGCACTGACAGTAGCTTTCGTACTGTAACTAAGTTAGGCCACAATTATGCTTGAGGTTCATTTTAACCTTTGAATGCCTAATTATTTTTACGGTAGTTTAAAGCAATACAGAAGGAAAAAACGCTACCAAACAAGTTAGAAAATAATAATAAGATTGGAACCAAACATGTCTGGCAAATTTGAAGCTAACGCCAGCAAACCGCCTTGCATTTTTAAGTGTCAGACCATTTGTTTCCTAAGTGACTTCGTCTACAATGTGCATTCAAACCACGAATGAGCAAGTATTAGATGTGTTATTCATAATCAGAAGTGTATTCTTCATTAACACATAACTAAATGATTCTGTTGTGCTACAGTAGCCTACAGAACAAATTAGACATAAGTACGTACTCACAACAGTAGCCTATTTAGTCAACATCATGGTGATGGCAAGACTCCAGGAAGTCACTGCATCCGGGCCAACGGAAAATCAATCACCTGGGAAAATCACTCCATCCTATAATTTTCTGTTTTTTATTAACTTAATAAACAACATATCGTGCTAGCTTTAGAGACAGTGAAGCGAATAAGCAAGCATGAATAAGCAAATTCATTTTTGAATCTTTAAAGGTTCAAAGTAGCAGAAAGCTTGCCTCCAAACGGCTCTCACCATGGCTACGACTGAGCTTACGGCTAGCGGCTAGCGGTGCTAACAGCGCTAACAATGCAAACAACGACAGACAGAGTGTAACACAAGTTTACCTGAAGGGGAACTAGAGAATGTCCGTTTCGTTTTCGCAAAGACGCCTTTGGTCGGGAACTTTCCGTGACCACCAATATTCACAGTGGAGGTAAGCTAGCTATGCATGTGCTACTGCTAACCAACATGGCTTTGAGCTGGCTATGTAAACAAAGCAAGGAGGAGGCAGAGCGACTTGCTCTCTGTTCAGGTTAACATTACTGCACTTTATTGTGAAATAGCAAATAGTTGTGGATGCTATATTAATGCTCTTGATATCAAATTGACAACTTTTAAGCTGAAATCTGAATTGCTATAAAGATATTTCCCATGGTCTATGAGGCCATGTAATTGCCATAAACTCAGTGGGGTGTGTTTTTGCAGTTGATGGATGTAGGTTAAGTGGAAGTGTCCCATCACAGAATCTCATACAGAAGATTGGCAGACCCACTGATGTCGTGCGTCATCCCCCGGCCCTGCCATGGTTCAGGATGTACTGTAACAACAACAACATCAGCTGGCCTGATCATGCAGAGTGTGGCCCCCCACCACCACCTCCCTCCAGCCAGGGCACACTGACAGGAGACAGGAGGCTGGGCTGACAAGGTGTCCATGTGCTGTCTGCTATATTGATCTGAGGTCGGTCCTTTTGTTAGAATTATTCATTACCTCCCTGTTTTGGATTTCTGTTTAGGAATAGATTAGAGTTTAGTGGAAGCAAGCAACCTTCTTTCCCATTGTGATGTTTTAGTACATGCTTGATAATCAGTTTGACATTATTTGACAGTGCAATTTGTTTTAGATTAAAAAAACGTTCAGGTTTTTTGAAGCGTAAAGAAATATTAGGAAATGTGTGTATTTGTACTGATGCTACCTTATTTGACCTTTTAATTCAAATATGCCTCTAAATATATTTAGAGTGAACTGTGAAGTCCACTGAGACAAATGTAACATTTGTGATATTGGGCTATATAAATAAACATTGATTGATTGATAAATGAGCCAGAAATAATGTCCCATCTCACTGACACAAAAGTCCTAGAGTCTCCATTACCTTTTGACCTTAAACTATTTTCTCAGTAGTTATTGTTTGCATCTTTTGCAATAATTCCATACCTTTTTCTCATTTTGAATATACATACATATATCTTTAGCACCTGCATCATAAAAAAACACATAATTGTAATGTCAACCTGCTGAAAACTAGCAATGATTGGAAAATTAATACAATAGATATTTTCAAAAGGTCTTGAAACAACATTACCATAATACCTAAAAAGATGCCCACCAACACACATCTTGGCTTTTGTTTTGTTATCACTCTAGAGTTTTGCCCTTTCAGTTTAGCTTTTGTTTCGCACCCTTCATATTGTTCTCATATATCACAAGACATCCTGTTCAAATTGCAAAACTTTTCTGATGGTGTCTTGCTCAAACAACATTGTAACAAAAGGACTTAAATCCCTCCGGCTTTGTTGGTAAGGTCTCTTAGCTATAGTGTGACTGCCAAAAGCATGTAAAATCTGATGAGGAAAGTACATTCTCAAAAGCATAATTTCAAATCCCCGCTCACAGCAAACACTTTTAGTAACCTCCCTTGGATGTTTAAGCTATACTGAGCTAAATGACATAACTAAAGAGTTTAACACTTTATCTGCTGATGATTGTGAACATTTTTGAGTATGGACTTTTTTATATTGGCTCTTTCGTCTCACTGTAGATTTTCTGGTGGATAGTTGTTTAGCATTCCTGACAAATCTGGCATTAAAGTAGCTATTAAAGCTCAAATAGCCAACTATTAAAAATGTATTGCAGCCTTTAATACATTTGTATGATTTAATAAACCTGTTTAAAGAAAAACCATGTGATGCCTGGCTTGTGCCTAGAAACAAATCCCATACTGCACTCTAATTCAACAGATGACGATAATGTAATCACCTGCCTGGGTCATGAGGTCGCATGCAGTGTCCTGAACAACTCTAAATGCTGATTAATTCGAACATCAATAGGTCGTTCTCCTCTCATATATCACAAGGAGCCATAAGAGGCACAGTATCACATCGGGCACGACCCTCATATACCGTGGCCACTGTAGTATTGACAGGTCTGTTGCTGTTTAATTCACACTCTGTATTACATTTGTCCGGTACACTTGATTTATGATGTAAAGATGGGGGGATGTTTGTGTCTTGTGCCGTCTTCCCCGATGAATAGACTTCCTCTGTGGCTCACCAGACGCATACCTTGGCTTCTTTTCTGAAAATCTGTCATATTGACACAACAGTGCATCACTGTTTACATCACAGCGTACCATTTCTGATGCTGCTCAGCCAATATCAAATGGTTTTAGTTTAAGCATGATAGTGAATGACGATTATTTTAGCCTGCATAAAAACCAAACCAGCCTTTTAAGAGAGAGTTGGATCAAAAATAGCATCGAGTGGTATTGTGTAATGTGTTCTTCTCTGTTTTGTATAGCGCAACAACAGAGCTCTCAAATCGATACACCTCCCTCACATGTTGCTGAGAAGGACGCATGGGGTGATTGGTCTTATTTCCACTTCATAGTTCGTCACATGTGACTGTGTGAAGTGGTTTCAGTGAGAGACGCAGCGACTGAACTGTGGCACACTGGGAAATGAATGCTTCTCTTTCCACAAGGAGCAGATCCCTCCCTCTGATCACACACTGGACGATTCACTCAGGTGATTAAAGTGCCTCCACTCCGTGATCTGATTAAAAGTTCATTATTATTCCTACCTCCTCATATCAATCAATAAATGAAGGTTTTTCACTATTACTTTTTTCCTAATAGTCTGAAGTGCACCACAGTTAATTTAAATCCCCATGGCTTTAGATATGATGTAAGAGGTTTGGAAAAAACTTAACATTTATTTGAATATATATCATCCATTCTGGCTCGGAGAAAATAAAATATTATACGTACAGAATAATGTAGTCATGAATTAAAGTACAGTAAAGTAAATCTTTCATAAAACAGAGCATTATTTTCTAAAGATGTTTATTTGTATCTTGTGATATAGTTATACCTATCATACATACTGTACCTTTTTTAATAAAAATTATCTAATTACACTAAAAGTTAATCAAGGCCCAAATGAAGTATGCCTGCCTCTTATGTATAACCAAATACACAATACATTTACATGGTTATATGCACATACCTGAGCATAACTCAATAATGCAGGTTCTTACTTGGAATCCAGGTTTGTTCCACAAAAATAAAACACAGCCTATGTTAAAATGCAGTATTGATTTCTAGACCAGTGAATGGCAGTGATTTCAAGCGCTGTATCGCCTGTGGGGAATATTTATGTCCTGCAAAACCACATTTCTGGCTCCTGTGTCCTATTCATTTAACAACATATTATATACCAGTGTTGTCCACGCATACGGGCAGGTTAGTGGCTTCTGAAGCTTTCCGAGGTAAAGTAGACACACATTGATTTAAGGCATACAGATGGCCTAAACAAAAACAGAAAAACGCATAGTTAGT